AACTCGTTTTTAATTACTACAACTAAATACTGTCTCTCCGTGCCATAGCTGCTGTGGAGCGTCACGTTAAAAATAATTTGTAAATAAATTAAACTAAATTATTTCATTTTAAACCGTTAAAGTGTTTTATTTCAAAAAACTCGATTATACATTAACAAATTTACGAACTTGCTCTAACCAATTCAGCTACCGTGCCCTACACGTCTAGTGAAAATTTTTGCAACCTATTTGTGCATTTGTTTAATTTAAACAATTTCTTCAAATTAATTATGCACAAGTATGCACTTCCGTTCCTAACCGTCTCAAAATTGTTTTTGATCTTTCTATGAGTTACAACCGACTTATCCTGGTAAATAGTTCTTGTGTGGATGTCAGTAACAATATATTTAAGCTAAATACATTATTGACAAAATGTTATCGTAAGTCAATATACTGTTTGTTCAGACATCGATAAACAACGTGACCGATCAGCTAATAAGGACAAATATATTCCAAACAAAAATACACAGCGACAGGTGTCGAATAAATAAACAATTATATATCTTATCAAATGGAATTTATTTATATATTTCTTAACACATTTTATATTAAAATAATTTGATCGTACAGTGCAGAAAGCTGCTATATTTCTGTGTCTATAATATATCATGAGCCCACCACCCCACTAGAGAGAATCCATTTTTATATTACGTATATAATATGTTACGTAAGGATATTTACTAATAGTAATAATAATAAATAAAATTAATTTCTCAAATGGATGATAACATTATAAGAGAATTAATATTTTTTTCCTTGTCGTTTATATTATATGTATTTAATTAAACCACTTTTAATCATTTCCAACTCGTAATATTTTCGTTCGTTAATAGAAACGATGGGCCGTAATTAAATTAAATTTCGCGTTTTAAACCGTTAAACGTTTTTTTTGTAAATATGCTCTACTCGCGTAAACTACAGACAATACATTCCATGTAGGTAAGTTAATGTGTTTATACAAATTAAACTGTAACATTTCCAAGTTAAACCCGCAAAGAAGTTCATTAAGTACATTTATTACTGATGGAAAAGAAGTTAAAAGATTTCAATAAAACAACTCGGGAGTCGCTAAAAAGCGACAATACTTCTTAGAAGTATTGCAAATGCCATTCTTATTATGTTACAAGTCCAAGATGGTATGCTAATGTGTTACTAGCTATCGCATACTTAATCTTTTATTGCCACGCATAGATTCATCATACGTTACAAAGTACATAAGGAAGTAAATAAAAAGATGGTAAACATGTATTATGTAAAGCCCTAAAACTTCGTAGCTGCGTAGACGCGTAGCACCTGTTTTTTATCATTGAAGATTATGGTCAATAATAACATTACTTAATTCATAACTCGAGGGTAGTTATAAAAAACAATCCATGTAGGTACATTAAAATTCTTCATCTGTAAACGGAATTTCGATATTCCTACCAACCTCATAAGTAGGTTTCTATTTAAATAAAACACTTTAACGGTTTAAGACGCGATATATTTTTAACTACGACCCGAAGATATCGCGTTTTGAGCCGTCAAAGTGTTTAAATTTGACTACTCGCGTAAACTATAGACAGTATCCGTGTTTCTAGACAAAGTCAAACATGTTTTAGAAAATAAAATAAACTGAATTTGAAAAATGTTGGACCCATTGGAGTTCGAGAGACCTATTGATATATTGCTTCCATTACAGCAACTAGCCGGTTGTAATATTTGAATAATTTTCTAAGAAACGCAAAATATATAGTGAAGTATGTAGTTTTACGTATGGTAAAAATAAACTTTTCTCATATAGTCGCGAGATTATTTCTTCGGAGGACTATCAGTGGTTTGGCAGTATTATTTACGATGTACTACTTGCGTCAAGCACTATAGAAATTTGGCAAAACCGAATAAGCATTAAGCTGATTCGTAGAATTATGCAAGAACAAGCCCAGTAACTCCTCGCCACAAAGAAAAATTAAGATGCTGAAGAAGTAAAACTAAAAAAAAAAAAATAGTATTATTTTTCAATTTATTACCTATTTAGTTAATAATTTAATATTTTTGCGTCAATGCATAAATTTTTAGAGATCATTGGTTTATAAATTATGATTAAATATCTACAGTCGCTAAGAAATTACTTAACTATACTTTTATTTTTTTGTGTCGATTAGACCACCATCAAAGCATCACACTGCGACCCATAGGTGCAAAGAAAAAATTGGAAAAATTACCCATCGTTTAGGGCTTCCACAGTATTAGTGCCTCTTTATCACGCATATTAAATTATAAAACAAAGCACTTGTTGACGTCGAGTTGTAGATTTTAATGTAATTTCTATAATATTTAGCGTTTTCCACCCTTATTTAATACACTTTGTGTTTAACTACCCTCGCATAAACTACAGACATTTAACAATACTACATTAATATACAACATTTGATCTGGGCCTTTTGACGTTGTAGTTGGTCTGTACATTTGAAAATAAATCATAATAACTAAATGATCAACAGAGCTGCTCGTTAAAATGATCAAAGAGCGCTAGAAATATCAGCAGAGAAATTAAAAAACTGAAAAACAACATTGAAATTCCGGGTAGACTTGAATTTAACTCAAATCTGTGTCTTTAACCTAAATATAATTTCATAAAGGAGAAACATTATGAACGGTATAAAATAAACGCTTTGAACGAACATTTTGAGGTTATTTGCTCAATATATTAATGTTTTAATGGAATTACTTCCCTCATTTGAATGATTTGAGAAAAAAAGTTATTAAATATAATTTAAAAGGACGACTGAAGGGTTTTAAATGAATTAAAGTTTTTTTACTCGTCAAAAATTCTTACATTATTCAATTACTAGCTGTGCCCGCGACTTCATCCGCGTGAAAAGTGACTTGGGGTAGATTTTTTTATTATTTAGGCTGTTTATTAATTTATGTAATTGCGCATTTATAGCAGCCAATCCTATGATGTAAGTGCTCACCTCACATCACTCCTACTCTAACTCCCACTCTCATTCCTACACTCACTCCCACTCCCACTCCTATTCCCAAAAAGCCAAAGAAGAAAGTTTTATTCAAAAAAAACACTTTAACGGTTTAAACGCCATACAAGTTAAACTTTTTAAAATTTTTTTAACTTCGGCCCTTGGCCGATCAACCCTTCGATTTGGCATTAGTAGCCTTTGTCTTTTCTCAGGCTCGCAAATATCTGTGTACCAAGTTTAATTTAAATCAGTTCAGTAGTTTCGGAGTTAAAGCCGAACAGACAGACAGACAGAGTTACTTTTGCATTTATAATATAGAAGTATAGTTAAAATAGTTTATTAAGTTATAAAAGTAAATATATTATTAGAATATTTACTATTTAAGTAAAACTAAGTTTAAGTATCAGAGGCCTATACGTACTTATGTAGGTACAGGAAATTAAAGTACGTTAGCTTTATTTCACTACTAACGATATACAACTACAAAAGCCTAAGTTTAAACTTTGATTACACTTTAAATACTCGTTAATAATTGTAGACATTGTTAACAGATAAATTAATGACTCAAATAGACAAAATGTTTCAATAGAGCATCTTCATTTGTGTCTATTTTTTGCGACATTTGAACCACGTGTTCACTACTCTGCTACACCAGAAGGTATATTCCAGCGGGACTTCAGAAAGATGTGGAGTCGATTTCAAATATTTAATATAAAAGAAAAATATTATACTTTAAAATGTTGGTCAAGACAAAGAAATAACTCGATTGGATAAAGTATTTGATCAATAATAATATTTAGGATACATATGAGATTTTTTATATATTTTTTTTTATAATTAAATAAACGTTTTAAAATTATGTAAGAATTAACCAAAATAATGCCTTGCATCAAGCTTGCATAGAAACAATTGAGTTGAGGATTTTTTTTAATACGAAACATTTTTGTAAGCTTAAATAACAGCGTTGTTTTTATTAACTAATAAAAAAATATTCTGCCTTCGTGCTGTAAATTCTTAAATATTTTACCCCATTCGCGCCTCTATTCAGCCTTTGTTCCAACAGCGACAAAAACTTATTGTTTGCCACGTGTTATACGTTAGGAAACGCAGGATGAATTCTAAGGGACCTTATTCGAATCTCGGCCCAGCCTCTGTCCTTGTTTAACCATACAGAGTCACTGTTCGATCGTATTGACTGATCTGTTGTATGTTAAGGGGATTTTATTAGTAAAAGAAAAATAAGTAGTGATCCACGGGGATAACGACGACTGTTCTGAAAGTTTAAACCAGATCCTACGACTTTTGTTTTCCAAATTTGAATTTGAAAGTTTAATATTTGCACAATGTAAATTAAAAATCGATTAATAATAATTTTTAAAAAATCGACGATGACGAGTAGGACGCAGTAGCTCAGTTGGTTTAGACTTTAGAGCAACAGCACAGAACGCTGTGGATGGCGGTTCACATCCTGCCCGTATCTATTTTTTTTTAAAACTGATTTTCTACATTTATTTCATATGTAAATTCCTAGTTTCAATACTCGATTCCTAAATTTCACCGATGTTTGTATAAATCGACTCGGAACCTGAAATCTCTACATAAACTCTATGCAAAACGTCTTTATGATTTTTGGAACTCAAGTATAAACAGGTCAAGATACCATACGCGCGCAATTCGCAGTTTCGCCCACTCGATTGAGATGAGTATTGGAAATGCTTGTTTTCGTAGAAAAAATGAAAGATGTCTGAGGACATTGGCCGTATAACAGGAAAAGCCCTATTTTGGAAATATATGTGATCGGTTCGTTACGTAACGCGTTACATTGCCTTCTCTCACTTGCAATTAAGAGAGCATAGTCTAAGGAATCACTTCTGTTTGGCTTCCAGAGATGTGAAGATACTATTTTAAAAATCTATTATATTATTGAGCGTTCTCTCAATTCATTTGTTCTCTCATTTTTTTTACTTTAATTAAACGAGCCTTTTATCTTACTTAGTAAAAATGGCAATAAAGCACGCTGACAATTTTGCCGCCAAATATCCAGTAAAAAGTGCACCTGACAAACTAAAACATCTGCTCAGTTCGGATTCCCGACCCGAGTCACTATTAGACCGTTTCTAGCTAACCATGAATCATTTTAAATATTCAACTAATTATGTTTTCATACAACCGCCGTTCTATATTTAATTATATCTCAAAATAACACGAATACGCTTACCGACTATAGAAATGACAGGAATCCCTCGGTATTTCGCACTGAAACCGGCCACTATCGTCAAAAGTATTCACGTTCACAAAAAAGAAGCACCGAACGTCACAGCAAATTCCGAATCGTGTATTTTTTCAGGTATCTCAACGGCCTTCGAACACAACCGCGCGCGGCAAAGCTCAAGGAAAGACTGAAGAAATGTCCGCGCGAGCTTTCAGCGGAACGATGCGCGCGCGCTCCATATCTCCATCTCTTTCTTGTGTACGCAGTTGCAGCGCTCTCCGTCTCCCTCTAACTCTATGTCTTGTGGAAATTAAGAAAACGCAGCGCGCTGTTACGTAATTCTAGTGATTTATATTGTCGTCTGATTAACGATATAGTGCTTTCGGTTTGTTATGTTGATGTTGGACATATTTTCTATTGTACAGTTGAGTTGTAACGGACACGGGTTTCGGGGATTGTTTTTGATTGCACATCGCGTTCTACTGATCATGTATTTTTTGTTTTACGACAAAATTGTTTCGTACTTTAAAGCTACAAACTGTATAAAATGAGAAAATTATAAATTTAGTATCACAAATTCTAGAGCTGCTAAATTGACATAAGGTAATATTTGAAATTGAATATTTTTCACATGATGTCACTATACAAATAAAAAAAAACGATTAAACATTCCAAAAATTTACGACACGGGCAGGACTTGAAGCTTAGAGTAACAGCACTGAACTATGTGGATGTACATTCAAGTCCCGCCCGTGCCGTAAGACGAACCCACGATGACACTGTGGTATAATACAAAAAAAAGTCTCAAACGCTAATTTGAAATAAGAATCTTTAAAATATCTGTAGATTCAGTTAAACCGTGGGTTGTATTGAGCTATTTATTTTGACGTGTATCTGATCGTAATGTTATGAGAAACGATAATATTGTTAATAGTTATGCAAGGAAACGAATTTCCTTCACTTTCGATTCCGAGAACATTTACACGCTTAGACATAATGTTGCATCTGATTTTGTTCCGGCTTCCTTCTTCAATGAAAACATTTTGTAGAACTATAAACTGTTTATTAACTTTCGAGAGTTAAGTCACCTCAATTTTGTAAGTTCATCCTACTAATATTATAAACGTGAAGTTTGTATGTGTGGATGGATGTTTGTTACTCTTTCACGCAAAAACTACTGAAAGGATTTCAATTAAACTTTCCAATATTGTAGCTTATACATTAGAATAACACATAGGCCACAATTTATAAAGATATTGTGTGAGCTGTCCAAAATATGACATTAAGTGTCAAGTAACTAGGAAAAGACCTACCTTTCTGCGAGCTGTTCTGGCGTGCGCTGCCATAAACGTTATTTACACATAATTATGTAATGTATGATATGATAGACATCATTTAGTTTAAATGCGCGATACTACGTAATCCTAGTCCTAATCCTGCGTAGCTAGTTTTACAATAAAGTAATCAAGACTTTTAACCTTATGTTAATACCGATAGATCTTAAAATTGGTATGAATGTGCAGAATATTTTTATACTCGTAAGAATGTGTGTGCAAATTTTTATTTATGGTGACAGTTTGCAAGAATACGTTTTTTCAACCAAAGTAAAAACAGTTCTGACAACTTTATAGTTAGTTCTTTTAAAGTCCCTATAGCACAATGGTTAAACTTCTCGCCAGTGCAAGCAAGTGTGAGGGGTCCAGAGTTCGAATCCCAGGCAAACAAAAGACGTTTTCGGTAGGATAAGAGTGATATAAAATAAGGGTTTGCCCGAAGTCAGAAGTATGTTAATAAAGAAAAGGGACTTCTTTATTAACATACTTTCAAGCATACATAGCAATACATACTAGCAATCAAATATTGTCTATAATTTACACGAATAATAACATTTAAATAAAACACAGTTTAAAACGCGAAATCTATTAGTTAACTTCTTTTCAATTTATATTAACTAATGAAAAACTCCGTGACCACAGCAGCTGCAAAACATCCGAAACGTCCAAGGGCCCTATATTAAATAATTAACAAATAAGTTAAAGTAATATTTCGTTATTTTAAACCGTTATAAGAGTTTTACCTATACTTACAATCAATAATAATTATTACTCAACATTTTAATTTTTAAATTTCACGTCACGTTTGTCGTTGTTTTGTTCTATTCTTAAAAATTGTGAAATAGGATTACCTTACATACGAGAGAATTTAAATTTAAAAAAAAAACAATATACAGACAAACACGCGTAACTATATGTATAGATGGTACAAAGCGCTGTCTTAATGAATACAGTCACAGATCATTCATCAACGGTTACCAATCGGTCGCTCGCCACAAATTTGTTTTACCACAGAACACATGAGTCTGGGGCATCCGCTTCCTGTCTGCCACGTGCTGGTTGGGAAGTGGCATTTTTATGTTCTAAATCCCGGTTTAAATCCTGATTTATACAGGCAGCCCTCGCACCTTTGCCTGGATCGACAGTCACGTGATCAAGAACAATAGATTAGAAGCTACGTAGACAAATTGTAGTCTTACGATTAAGTGTGACTAGTGATAGTATGTCTTATAAAATGGAAGGTTAATATATCCCAGTAACATAACATCCTGATAATAGCGCTGTCGACTTATTTTGGGTTTTTGATAAAACACTTTTAAAGTTAATCGCGAAATGTTGATGTATTTAATCACTATATACTTATTTTAACTACGGCTAAAAATATAAAAGATATATTATAAAAAAGTATGTATTATGATAAAGTATTTATGCCAAATTTAGTAACTAGTTAAGACTTAGATTAAGCTCATTTTGTATTATTGTTTATTATAAGTTTTAGTAAGTAGGTTAAGTCTTTCTGCTTTGCTGCACGCATTCCTTTTTTATTACTGAATTTTCATTTCTACCACGGTTGCTTGGAAGAGATAGCTATTTAGCTATAAAGTCGCCGTTCGTCCTTAATTTCCATTAATTTTTAAATATATTTTTGTTTTGTTACAATAAAGAATATTTGTTTTGTACGTAAGTTGTTTACGCAAGAAGTAGACATTTGATTCAAGACTTATAACGGTTTAAAACGCGTTGCAGCAGTCGTGGCACGGAAGGCCACGACTAAGCAAGTTCAGAAGCGTAGAAAAAACAAATTTAAGTCCCATTTTCGCTAATCGGGGCATGGGAGAGACATACTTTTGTCTGTTCCACTCATGGATTTTACGTATCAACTTTGACGTTTCGAATAAAATTTTCTTGGATTAAAATAATACGGTCAAACCATGACGGTTACTTCGAACAATAGAAATAAGTTTTGTATTGTGCTTCTAAATATCTAATCCTCTTTTGAACATTGAATATAGCTTAGAACACTGAAAGCAGATTGTAGAAGCTTACTGTGTGGGCTGTAATTCAAGCAAAGCAGTTCAGTGATGCCTCGTTCACTTAGATTTATGGCATTTGGTACACAATATTTATCTGCAGAAATAGAATTGAGTGGCTTCAGACATTAAGAAGAGCGTGTCCGTTTTATGGTATCATTTTCGACTATAAAAAGGCCATTTTCAAACTTAATCTAATTGATACACCGGTTTCGTATAGTTGAAGTACGTTTTTATGATTTTTTTAGTGTTTGGAAACCTTAATATGATGTTTTTAAGCCATGTAGACGAAACATGGCTCTTTAAAATGTATTCTATAAAAATAACAATGATTTTTTTATTTCCGAATTTATTTTATTACTTTTTTATATTACAAAACTAGGAGACTAGTTGAAACTACACATAAAAATATATGAATTTTTAAATATATGATCTTTTTAGTCCACCACAATATTATTTTGATACTGTTATTATATAAAGCATTTCCCCTAATGCTTAGTTGCGGCCAAGACTTATCTTAAATAATGCGCGGGAATTAAAACTGTGTAGTACAATTCAGAACTTAAGAACTAATGACGAAGTTGACAAACTAAGTATTTTTTTTCACTAAACAAATGTCTATGTGCAAGCCATTTTAAAATTTAAATTAAACCTTTGATAAGTAACCTCCTTGGTCGCCATTATGCGTACAAGACGATCGTTCCATTTTTAAATTACAGGAGAAATATAATTTTCCATAGTCCTTTATTTTGCACGTTAAACACGACAGATATGGATTTTTATACAACTATGCCCGCTGCTCAACAGTAGTACAATTTATCTCGAAGAATGTTGTCAAAATACAAGCGCAAAGCACGTATGAGAAGAGACATTAATGTATCGCTATTTAAATTGTTAAAATAGTTTTATTTAAACGTGTACTACTCGCGTTGATCACAGACAATACTATGATAATAGATAAACACGCCGTGCGCAATTCGGACTCACACTTGGCCGGTTTTATTATAATCCTTAGAAGTCCCAACTTCGTAGAATAAGTGAAATCGTATTAAGATATGCGGAGATCCCACGTTCAAGTTTACGGCCTTAATACCGAATATTACGCGCATTAAATATTTATATCCTACCAATAAATATTTATTGAATACCAACAATAACAAATGTATCGAAATCGTTCGATTTACATATTCAGGTAAGTGCGACGCATAAATGTACCTTTTATACTGTATTTCATACAAAATTAAATCCCCTAACAGATAGAAAAGTGACCGATATCAGATACTCGGCTACTAATATTAAAAATCATCAATCTCATATTATTTTTACTCAAAATTTATTATTCATTTAATAAAACAACAGTTTTTATATTTGTTTTTTTTTTTTTTTTTTTTCCCCCCGGGGGGGGGCCCAACGGGGGGGGGGTCCCCCCCCCAAAAAAAAAAGGCGCCTCTTTTTCCCCGGGCGGGGGCGCCCCCCCCCCCTCCCCCCCCCCCCGCCCGGGCCCCCCCCCCCCCCCGCCCCCCCGCCAGTTTTTTGCCCGGGGGGGGGGGGGGCGGGGGGGGGGGAACCCAAAAACCCTCTTTTTAACCCCCCGATCCTCCCCCTCTCTCCAAATGTGTGTGTTTTACACTTGTCTTAGCAATATTACTGTATACATTTCAAAAAAAAAAAAAAAAAAAAAAAAAAAAAAAAAAAACAGAGAAAATTTTCTTCTGAAAATAATATTTTTAGGCTTGGTAAATCAAATTTAACAAATATGTTACCTGTTATGGACCTCAAGCGTCTCTGTCACGAAGCAGTATTTTAAGAAACGTTTTTATAAATTATGAATGTCCTTTGCAAAGTTTGTATATTGTTGATTACCTATTGAATAATACGTACACCCTGTGTCGCAGAGTACGTAGACCGCACTTAGCCGATGTCATAAT